TTTTATTTATGAAATACTGAACTTATTTAAAGTTAAATTGAAACATAGAGTTTTCACCTTTATAATTTTCAATTTGTCAAAAAATTAAAAATATGTATATTTTATTAAATGCTAAAAAATATTAAATATCATAATTAACCTTTCTTTTATGTTATTCATATTAAACAATTAATATAAAGGTACAGTAGTTTGTAACTAGCTGATAAAAACATTGAAACCTTAGCAACTATCAATTATAATAAAACAATATAAACATGATTGTCACACCTCAAAAATGGCAGCCTTTGACAGTGACCGTATTGCTAATAAATCAATGATCAACATTGTATCATGTCCAATTTGCATGAACATATTTGATGACCCTGTAATAATCACTAGTTGTGGACATACATTTTGTCGCACCTGTATCACACAATGGATCGCCAGAAACCCTACCTGTGCTGTATGTAAGCGAAATGTAGGTGTATGTGATTTGCAAACTAATTACAACACAAAGGCTACCATCGAAACGGGATTACAGTTTAAATGCGAGAACGAGTGGAATGGTTGTAAAGAGTTGTTTAGCAGTGAAATGTTGCCTGCTCATTTGGATAAATGTCAGCATGGTAAGTGCAAGGCTTGTGGTATTAAGGTTAGTGCGCAACCTCATGAACATAAATGTCTGGGTAATTTAAATATCGGGAAATCAACGTAAGTTAAAGTTAAAAATTTAGCAACATTTTTTATTTACCAAATTGAAATTATTATAGAACCAAGGTGATTGTAGTAAAATGTCGCTATTGGCCAAATTGTAAGCAGGGTGACCAGTGTAAATTTCACCACCCTACGAAAAAGTGCAAATCATACCCTAATTGCCGGTTCGGTAATAAATGTCTGTATATTCACATTAAGTGTAAGTTTGGCGATAAATGTCAGAAAAAGGATTGTGTTTATGTACACGACATAAAAGCTACTGGATCAACTGTGCCTAAGCATGTAACTATGAATGCTTTTATCACACAATGGATCGCCAGAAACCCTACCTGTGCTGTATGTAAGCGAAATGTAGGTGTATGTGATTTGCAAACTAATTACAACACAAAGGCTACCATCGAAACGGGATTACAGTTTAAATGCGAGTACGAGTGGAATGGCTGTAAAGAGTTGTTTAACAGCGAAATGTTGCCTGCTCATTTGGATAAATGTCAACATGGTAAGTGCAAGGCTTGTGGTATTAAGGTCAGTTCGCAACCTGACGACCATAAATGTCTGGGTAATTTAAATATCGGGAAATCTACGTAAGTTAAAGTTAAAAATTTAGCAATATTTTTTATTTTCCAAATTGAAATTATTATAGAACCAAGGTGATTGTAGTAAAATGTCGCTATTGGCCAAATTGTAAGCAGGGTGACCAGTGTACATTTCACCACCCTACTAAAAAGTGCAAATCATACCCTAATTGCCGGTTCGGCAATAAATGTCTGTATATTCACATTAAGTGTAAGTTTGGCGATAAATGTCAGAAAAAGGATTGTGTTTATGTACACGACATAAAAGCTACTGGATCAACTGTGCCTAAGCATGTAACTATGAATGCTTCGCTAAATGTTCCTGCTAATGTTAAACCAAAAAATAAAACTAGAAAACCTAGGAGTTCAAAACCNTGTCAGAAAAAGGATTGTGTTTATGTACACGACATAAAAGCTACTGGATCAACTGTGCCTAAGCATGTAACTATGAATGCTTCGCTAAATGTTCCTGCTAATGTTAAACCAAAAAATAAAACTAGAAAACCTAGGAGTTCAAAACCCAAACCAAACCAGGTAAATTTATTTAACAATTTTGTTGATACAAATAATGTAATATTTTAAATATTGTTTTAATTTATTATAAATGTATATTAAATAGCAGGGTGATGTGCCTAGTACAAGTCAGCCAGTAATATCGCACCATGATGTTTCTAAATCAGACCTCCAAAAAGCAGTACAAAATGATATTCAAAATGTTTGTAAAAAATTAAAATTATATAATTTTTTTGATAAATATATTTTGTTTAATAATTTTAGGTAAAGGACCTGACTCAAAATGATGCCGATAATTATCCGGGTGCAGTAACACAAAATGTTGTCTATGAAGTTCAATCAGCTACAAATACCTTAAAATTAAATATGCCACAAAGTGCCATTACTAGTCAGCAGGGTACACCGCAAATTGCAAAACAAAATATCAATGCGGAACACGATGTACCATTAAAGGACCTTGTTCAAAATGAAATAGATAGAGAATTATTAGACACAAGGTTAATTCGTCAAAGTACTCAAAATTACGTGAAATTCAATGAGTTTGCAGCAAATGTTTTATGTACACGACATAAAAGCTACTGGATCAACTGTGCCTAAGCATGTAACTATGAATGCTTCGCTAAATGTTCCTGCTAATGTTAAACCAAAAAATAAAACTAGAAAACCTAGGAGTTCAAAACCTAAACCAAACCAAGTAAATTTATTTAACAATTTTGTTGATACAAATAATGTAATATTTTAAATATTGTTTTAATTTATTATAAATGTATATTAAATAGCAGGGTGATGTGCCTAGTACAAGTCAGCAATCTATATCGCACCATAATGTTTCTAAATCAGACCTCCAAAAAGCAGTACAAAATGATATTCAAAATGTTTGTAAACAAATTAAAATTATATAATTTTTTTTGATAAATATATTTTGTTTAATAATTTTAGGTAAAGGACCTGACTCAAAATGATGCCGATAATTATCCGGATGCAGTAACACAAAATGTTATCTATGAAGTTCAACAAGTTTCAAATACGTTAAAAGTATATCGGCCACAAAGTGCCATTACTAGTCAGCAGGGTACACCGCAAATTGCAAAACAAAATATTAATGCGGAACACGATGTACCATTAAAGGACCTTGTTCAAAATGAAATAGATAGAGAATTATTAGACACAAGGTTAATTCGTCAAAGTACTCAAAATTACGTGAAATTCAATGAGTTTGCAGCAAATGAAGTAGTGGTGGAGTTACGTAGCAATAGTATTTCATTGGCAAATTTAGCTAGACCATATAACAGTCAAAAATTTGCTATCAATATTATGTTTAATATGATTTCACGTTTGGAATATAAACGCAATTATAACTCTATAAGAAACCCATATTTTCCAGCTAAAGCATTCATGTTTATTTATCTGAAACAACCTTGCTTAACTTCAAATGGTAATATAGTTTATCCCAGGTCACAATCAAATCCGTACGATTTTACATCTGATATTCAAGTTGAGTTGCGAGATAATATTGATGTAAATGTTTTCGATGAACTACAATGTACGTTTAATCGTTTGAATGTACAATTTAAATTAATTTAAAATTAAGTTATACATGTATTGTCTAATAATTAATTTTTATCTATTTTAATACTAAACTAGAATATTATTTATAAATTTATATATAAATTAAGTGCAGTTCTTTTAAAACTGTTCTAGGATTATTATTGAATATTGTATAACTTATATTTAAGAAATAATTTATTCAGTAATATTAAAAATATTTTACTTACATTATTCTACTGTATTTAGAACAATATACTGGTACTTAAATTGTGCTATTTAAAATATTATATTTATAGAGATACTAATGTGTGTAATATAAAAAATTGTTATAAAAATTTGTCTTCAGTCTTGTTTACTATAAAAATAATTAAAACTGATAACATTGATTAATAAAAATTTAATTTAAAAAATTTAATTGAATTTTTAAACATATTTTTATTTTTATAAATTTAATTTATTTTCTTTGAAACCTATTATAAATAACAATGAAAGTCATGAACACCAATTTTATACTGATATGTCTAATCATAATAGTGATAATTACTATTATGCAGTGTCAAGACCAAGGTATTATATAAGTTTATCTATTGATAAGTACAGTAGTAATCTATTGTATATCTATAACATTATATTTGTGTACTAATATTAAATTACTTAAATTTTACTTAATAAAACAATTATATTATTTAACAATGAATTACCCCTCAATATGTCTATACTGATCATAGATCCCTTACCTCGTGTAGGAAAACACTGATGAGTTAAATAATTTTAAAAATTAATTATAATATTTAGTTGAATTCTAATAATTAGCATATAATTGCTTATACAATGTAAAACTTATGTATCAATTTAAATAACAATAATAAATTAGTACGACTAGGCAAATAACTATTAACAAATGCTTATAACGATATGATTTATAAATATATTAATTAAAATGAAATTTAATTAGCACATTTGTGGGTTTCTATTATAAACTAGGTGATGAACAAATATGTGATCGTCAAGATTGTTTAAACAAATGTCTACATAAAAGTTTCGCCGAAATACTGCGGACTCGTTGTGTTAAATTTAGTATATGTTAGAATTGAGCTAGATTAAAACAAAATTTT